CAACAGGTAGATATCTGGTTGGATCATCACTGTTTGTTTTAGACTGATTGAGCAACCGAGCAGAGACTAAGACTTTGATGATGTGTGCTAAGGAGGTTTCTTTTTTTAAAAATCATTATTTCTTTTCTTCTTTAAAGGGAGAAAGGGTTCCTTAAGGTTACTGAGAGCACTGAGTTTTCTTTCTGAGCTGTTTGGAACACATAGGAGACATGGAACTTGAACATTTCTCCCTATTTGGAAGTCTCGCTGGAATCTGCTTTGTCATAACTAGCTCATCAGTGTCATAACCACTTTGTAATTGTGCACCGCTCTCTGTAGCACCTTCTGCATTAGTATTAGGTTTTCCTCAAACATGGAAATGTTCTTATCAGGGTGTATATGTGTGTGTCTGTATTTGTGTGCGGATGTGGAAGAAAATCCCATGCCATCTCATATTAGTAGAGGTCCAGCTCTCCAGGACAGATCTCCTGCCTGCGTGAGCGTTATAACTCTAGGACCCACTCTGGATCACGCCATTGCACCATCTGTCATGGCAAAAGCAACATTCACCCTGTGAAATTCATCATTTCCTTGCCCCAGCCTGGAGTCCTTTGTGTTCTATCATCTTTGTAGAATGACCATCTCCCCAGTTACCTGAACCAGAATGATGGAAGTTATTTTAAACTTTTGTTCTCTCATCTTTCACATTGAGCACTCTCTTCAATTTTGTCTCAAGGTAACCTACCTCCCAAATATCCCCATTACTCATGCGCCCCCTCTAACCCTCTGCCACTGCCTTCGTCCCAACCCCTCACATCTTCCTACTTGTCCATCTCCAAACTCTGAACTTGTTTTCCCCAGATCCCAGCAGGCCTGGGTTTGATCTGTGGTCAGAGAATTAGATCCCGCATGCTGTAACCTAGAGTCCACGTGCTGCAGTTAAAGATCATGCATGCTGCAACTGAGGCTTGGCACAGCCAGGTAAATACACATTGTTTTTTTAAACAGCCTTTCTGTGCGTGGGTTGCTTATAGTCCAGTCATACAACAATTTTTTTTTCTTAAATTTGACTGGATTCCCTGGTGGCTCAGATGTTAAAGAGTCTGCCTGCAGTGCAGGAGACCTGAGTTCAATCCCTGGGTGGGGAAGATCCCCTGGAGAAGGAAATGGCACCCCACTCCAGTATTCTTGCCTGGAAAATCCCATGGTCGGAGGAGCCTGGCGGGCTACAGTCCATGGGGTCGCAGAGTCAGGCACGACTGAGTGACTTCACTTTCACTTTCTGTAAGACTATGAGCTCCTTGGATGGTGGGACCAGCCCTTTCATCTCAGCATCTCTGGTACCTGCCTGGCACTGGGGACATAGCATGCTCCAGCAGTCTTTTTTTGAATGAGGATGTCTGGCAGGGATCCCCAGTGTCTGGACTCAAGGATCAGAATGTCAAGGTATTAAAATGGTTCAAGGGACTGATTTTCATGGGGGGAAGGGTTTCCAGCAAGAGGTGTTAGGTAACAATGTTTATTTGTAACAGAAAAACCCAGAGAAACAGTTCATTTGTCTTCTCTGTACCTCCTAAATCAGCTCCCCCCACCATTCTTATAGTTCTTTTTTGAATGGAATAATGTCACCCACTTATTGGCTTTATATAGCTCCTATTGAATAGAACCCAACAGAAATAGTGCCTATTAATGAAAAACACAGAATGTGGGCAGTTTTTGAACTGCTGAATAAGACTCGTACCAGTCAGGTTACTTTAGCTGTCTTAAACCATTTTTCTTTTCCTAAACCTAGAGTTTTGCTTGCCAGAGAAAATGACTTTAAGAAATACAGTAGCCAAGAATGATAGTGTCTTGTCCCCAGCACGGTTTCCTGACTCTCCAGTGAAATCATACGGTTGGGTATTTTCCTAGTGCTTTGGAAGCTTTGAGCGGGTCAAAGTCGTGAGGGGCCAGAGAGGACACAAGTGGCCTCCCAGGCCACTATCTGCTGCCCTCCAGTGATGGCTGCAGCCTCGGGTCTGTAGATAGCACTGCTGGTAGGGAAGGGCCTGAAAACACTTTCCTCCTTGGGCTGGTCAAGAAGAAAAATATCAATTTCTAGGAGCTGCTGGGCAGCCCTGGCCTCTGAGGTTCAGCGCCTCCACTGCTGAGCACCATAGCAGCCTGCGGTGAACTGAATTAATTCCAGGAGGGCAGAAGGCAGAAGAATCCTGAGACTCAGGAAGCGCTCCCCGGTCTGCCTCCTTTCAGGGACTGGAATTCTCTGCCATGCCCAGCAGTGCTGGTCCCAGCAGAAGAGGTGTCTCCCCGGGCGTGGTGCCGAGGAGCTCACACAGGACTCCCTGCTCAGCCCCAGGCTGCATCCTGTGCTGGCGCTGGGCAGGGGGTCGCCCAGCAGGTCTGCCCTTGAGGCTGGACTTTGAGGTCACACGGGCTCCCTCGAGGTGGGGGTGGCGAGGGGCACGTGGCTGCTCCCACAAGTGGCCCCATTGTATCCTGAGTTGGGAGACTGCAGAGAGGGGCCCTGTGATGGCTGTTGAGAGGCAGGGGGACCCCGGGCGTGTCTGCAGGGTTTGATTCCACTGAACCAGGGGGGGCAGCCATGTGGTGAGCATGTGCTTGGGGCCACATTGGGGTCCAAGGGCTGGCAATGTGCTTTGAGTTTGGGCTTCCTTTCTTTTTCAGAAGGTAGTTGATTCATGCAAAATGCTTAACCATGCCTGCAACGCACGGAGCAGGGATCAGATCCTCCTTTGATGTGCAGGGTCTTTTTGGAGGTTCCAAAAAAATAGTTCAAAGGTTTACTTTGGACACCACACCTCCAGCACATGTCAAAGTCAAGGCCTGGCTCCCCAGGCAGCGGGCTGGAGCAAGCATCTTGTGCTGGCTTCTTCCTCCCTCTGTTTTGTCTTGCACTGAGCACAGATTTCCAGACTTCACACTGTCCTGGTGGCAAAAAGGGGAGCTGGAGCAAAGGCAAATAACCAGCTCTGAGGTTTTCGAGAGTCCAGAGAGGCAGGGGTGCAGCGGGGTCTCCCAGCTCTGCTGGAACTGGATGTGAGAGTGAGGCTGGGGTTCTCGGTGCCTCGGAGCCCGGGGCTCTCTGAGGGAACTGTGTTCCCAGGCAGAAAGAGAGCCATCTGGCCGCCCCACGGGGGTCAGAGCGTGGTTCGCCTGCGTTTGTTTTAGCTTGCTTGCTGTGGTGCTGTCTTACCTCATCTCTTCTCCACGGGTGTGGGATTTAAGGACAGACTCCAGGGGGATGAGGGGCGAGATGCTGGGTGGGGGCAGGACTGGAGGCACATGAAAGGGAAGGATGGGTTGTGTCCACCTGGAGATCGTCTGGTGGAGAAACCACGCATCACACCAATGTGCTGAGAATTGCCTTGTGTCCTGAGGGCCTGGGTATGGGGAAGGGGTCCCCAGCTTTGTTCACAAGCTGGACACTGCTGGGGTGAACGGGAGAGGATTCCCACCCCCTCCCCCCCCCAGCCCAGAGAAAGCAAAGTAGAACCACCCTTATGGTGGGTGTGGCCATGACCTTGAACTCAGGGTTTCCAGGAAGGATTTTCTTCCTCTCTAGTTATCGGGAACTCTTGAGTCCCTTGATGGAGCCACTTCTCTGTTCTGTGGGCTATTTACCCATCAGCCAGAGGTGGGTGTTTTCACTATGATCTACTGCTGGGTATGGCTGTCCCAGTCCTTCACTGTGTTCAAAAACAGGGTTTAAAATGCACAAATCAAATGACATCTTGCAGGATCAGGGTATGCCTGGAGACCAGAATCTGGAGCATCACTGGAGAAGGGTGAGACCTGTAGGGGCTCCCAGGGCCTCACCCTTGTGCCCTTGGAATTAGTGTTTCTTTCTCTCCTCATACAATACAAGTTAAGGCCTCAGCAGCCCCACCCCCTCATCTAAGCTGGTACCTCTGAAATACCACACACATTCAGTCAGTGTCCAGAGTGATTTACCACACCATATGGAAATCTCCTGGGGTCTACAGCAGTTTGGCAAATTGCAGGAATATAGAATCTTATATTATTTTTAATGCAATTAATGCAGGCTTTTATCTCTCTCTCCAAATTCCCTTTATAGGGTTTCCTTTTAGTTCTTTTCAACCTTGGTCGCTGGGGAAATTCCACAAGGCCCCTCCCTCATTTGTGGTTGGAAATAACAGTTTCTGTTGGGGTCAGACTGCTCTGATCTCCTGCTCATAGAAAACTTCAGTGAATTATTCTTTTTCTTCCTTGGGTTCATGTCCTTGGAGATCCCCTCTGGTTTCAGAGCATTCCTACACATTTCTCTGTCACTTCATGCTGTGTCTTTGCCATTTGCCTCATGTTTTCTGAAGTCTTTCCATTTCAGAGGATCTTGCTTTCCTCCTACAAATCAGTTTTTTAGTTTTTACATATCATCTCCTGGCAGCCCTTCCTTCCATGTCATTCTAGGTTCTTGCTTTCATTTTAGGACAAATGTTAGCATTTTTTGAATGTCCATTTCTGCTTGAGCTAAACCTTATAATTAGTTCTTCTGGGTCAGACTGTGTGTTAGGTTTTTTCATTTATCAATAGCTTTAATAGAAACTGCATTGCCATCCCATTTCACACATGACATGCACTTGATAAGCTAGACTTGTATTAAGTGTTCAAGCAGCTCTTCTAACACAAAATAAATTCTCTGTGTTTCAAATGGTTTCCCTCAAAGCTAGGTGGAGATGCTCTCAAATTCACCTAACATTGAGAAACTTGTCTGGTTCCCCAACATAACTAGCTTGTAGATGTAATTAATCATACATCATAGATGAAACTTCATTTCACATGTATATTTTAATGTTGGTCAATATTGTGAACAGATGTTAATCTTGCCTTTAGTGAACAATCAAAGTGTTTGACTAATTAAAAAAAAACAGTTCTAGACTCACTTATCAATAGCATATAATGAAAGTCAATCTATATTCCTCCTCATTTCATTAGTCTGTCTCCTGATTTTGTTCAGACCCAGTTATTTTTTTCTTTTCTAGTTTTGGTGCCCAAGCACCCAGGCCAGTCTGCACAGCCACTTTTCTCCAGCGGCTGGGAAGCTGTCATTTGGTGAGGGGCGACTCGTTGGCCAATACTCTTCAGGTGGCAGGCAGAGAGGTGCCAGCAATTATCCTCAACGTTAACCGTGTGTGGCCTGAAAACAAAGCATGCGGTCGCCTGGGCTCACTTCCTTGTGCCTTTGGACAGAGAGGAAAAGGCATACTGCAGCAGTTGGGAAACCTCGAGTTGTAGAGGGGTGAGGATATGGATAGTTATACTGGGGATTGTTTTAAAATTGGAAAATTTGAGGTGGTGGAAAATTAAGTGATCTGTAAAAGGGAAAATGGATTAGGACACCACACTCTTACTTCAAATGGGGAGATCTCTTAGGCCGAGTAGAACAGAGCGGTACTAGTGGAGGTGGAAGAAGTGTGGCTCTATGCTCACCATTGGTGCCACTTGTGTGGAGGTTAACAGTGTACAGTGATCCTTTGTAGTATTTTTGTGTCTGTCTAGTCTTGGTGGCTAGATGATGAACTTCTTAAGGGCCAGATAATGTCATATCTCTGGTGCCAAGCAGAACACTTTGAATGGAGCACATACTCAGAGAATATTAACTGATTAGTAAGTTGATTAGCATAAAATTGAAAACTCACTTGAACAAGAGACCCCAGTAAGTCACAATTTAGACATATGCCCTGCTAGGTACTGTAAAATGAAGGTTCTGAGCCCCTGTAATTAATAATGTTAGAGCACAGGGTGACATATTAAAACAGAAAGATCCCAAAATGTAGTGACATAAATAGGATTGAAATTTCTTTTTCTATAACAGTCCATAGGTCAGTGGGCTGGGGCTGGAGGCAAGGCAGCAGCTACAGCTACAGTCAGCAGGAGGGAAGAAAAGAGCCAGGAGAGTGTCCAGGAAGTGGCGTCTATCCTTCTGCTCATGCCCTTTGGCTACAGCATGATCACATGGCCATATCGAGCTGCAAGGGAGGCTGGGAAATGTGGTCTCCAGCTGAGGGGCTCTGCCTAGGTACAACTTAGGAATTGCATTATTAAAATGGAGAGAGGGCTTCCCTGGTGGTCCGGGGGTTAGGAATCTGCTTTGCAATGCAAGGGATACTGGTTCCATCCCTAGTCCAGGAAGATCCCACATGCCGAGGGGCAGCTGAACTTGTGTCACACAACTAATGAGCCTGTGAGCTACAACTACTGAGCCCACATGCCAGAACTCCTAAAGCCCATGCACCCTAGAACCTGTGCTCTGCAACAAGAGAAACTACTGCAGTGGGAAGCCCTCACACCACAAGCAGAGTTGCCCTTGCTCACTGCCACTAGAAAAAGCCCACATAGCAATGAAGACCCAGCACAGCCAAAAATAAATAAACTTTAAAAAATGTTGTTGTTTTGTTTTGTTGTTGTTGTTTAGTCGTGAAGTCATGTCCAACTCTTTGCAACCCCATGGACTATAGCCCACCAGACTCCTCTGTCAATGGGATTTCCAGGCAACAATACTGGAGTAGGTTACCATGTCCTTCAGAATAAAACAGAGAGAGTGAATATCGATGGACAAGTAGCCTCTGGTATAGTACCTAAGCTAGATTTTCCCTAAGAGGCTTCCTTTCCCTTCCCTTTTCCAAAGAGGTAAGAGAAACAGAAGCAGCAGTTGCCAAATCCTATTTGCCAACCACCTGTAATCCTACAGATGTTGACACTATAGAGCTTTCCCTAGAATCTGACGTCTCCTCCTCTGGAGGCACATTAGAGACAGAGATGGAGTGAGATGATGAAACCCCCTATGGGGTGCAGACACAAACTGTTGGGAGATTCAAGAGATTTTTGCCCCAGAGAACAAAAGTAATTTTGGTTGGTCATTGGGAAAACATTACAAATGGGTATGGCATTGTGCAGAGTGTTAAAGCTTAGGGAGAATGGCAGAACCTATCATGTTTAGGACTTCATCCTCTTGTTTTTTATGTTGCTGTTTTACCCATTTAAAAATTACTACAAGTACAATTTCAGAAATATAGAATTACTCTTTATTCAACTTATGATTTCCTGATATGTGTTGTAATTGACCTGGCACTACTGAGATTTATGTGGTAAAACAAAAGGAACTTTAGATTTTGATTCAGAAGACTCGAGTATGAGTCCTACTTTTCAGCTCTTTTGGCCAGGGTGTTAATTTATGAAAGGGAGATAATAGTGGCCAATTTAGAGAGGCGGTGAGATGAAATATGGTAGGTGTGAAAGCTCTAGATTCACTCTCAAGCATGGTATAGATGCTAGATTGTACTATGGCTATTATTGTTACAAATTGTCAGTTTACTTTTAAATAACTTTAACTGGCCTGATATCAATCCAGGCATTGTGAAGCTCAACTACTAATTGTATAAAACTAAAAAATTATTGTAATGGTTGAATTGAGGCTCAAAAAATCTCTACCTAGTCTCCTTTTGAGATAGCACAAGTTTTCTAAGGTGTTTGAAATCATTCTTTAGATATTTCTGTGGTTCAATTTCTTTCTTAAGATATAAGACTTAAATAATTGATTGGTAATAAAATAAATTTTATAACTGAAATGAAAAAAAAAAAAAAATCTCTTCCCAGTGATGGTGAAAGTACCAGGGAAGATTCCTGGCTAGCAGACAGTACCTGTGTGTGACTTTTTCCTTCTCCCTCCACAAGAAGCCACCTTGAAGTCTAGTATCTGAATAACAGTGTTTCAAATAAGATTATCATGTTATCTAGGTTTACTTACTTGAAGGAGGTGCCCAGAGCACCATTATGTTATCTACAGAATGATTCTAAGATGAAAGGAAATCCATGATCTGTGCAAAAGGCTGTTCCTTTGAACTGTTCTTAGTGCTATCACCCAGAGCTGGTAATGCAGAGCGAAAAGTCTGAAAGCCAGAAGTATGTCTCTGGACACATGTGATCTGGACAAATGGCCTGTCTCTTCTCTGTGGTAGGGTCTTTATTTGTTGAATGGAAAGCCTGCTGCTGGACTCCTACCTCACAAGGCTGCTCTGTGGGTGTGCTACAAGGCATTTGAGGGTAGAAATTGTTTAAAACTACTTGGTCTTGGTTTAGTACACTCTGTTGACTGAAAGAGACATATTCAAATACTGGAATGTATAAGAGAGTTCCTTTGCAAAAGAGTTCCTTTGCAGCCCACACCTGCTAGGAAGTAATATGGATGGAGAATCAGTGATCCATATCCTGCTAGGTAGAAGGCCATGTCCTGGGAGCCAGATGAGGACTCTTTATTAAAGTACTGTTTCTTACCTTACAGAATACCAAGTTTTTTTTCCAGAGATCTGACCCATTAAGTAAAATAAAACAAAATCAGCTCTATTGTCTTTAAATGAGTCTGTTCTGATGACAACAGACAGTGACAGAGAGTAATTGCTATGAGCTATAGACGTTCTAGTTATTGTAGACACAGGACTATGGTTTTCATGGAACTGCTCAATGAAGGCGTCCTTCTCTTTGTAGAGTCTGTCAGTCCTACTTCTACTGAATGCTGCACATTACAGTTTAAACAGTTGGGACCCTGAATACTCTGCTGGTAGACTGCCAGAGAAGACCTGCTGTGTTCTGAACTGCAACATGGGGGAGAAAGCAGAGGCTGCCAGAGACAGGACTGAGGACGTGACCCATTCCCACTTGTGGCACCAGCCCTCCTGGTAGAAAGTGGAGGCTATATGACTGGAGTCAGCTTAGCGTCAGGCCAAGCTGTGACTGTAGGTCTACAGGTGACTGTGACTACAGGTCAGCTATTTGGTTTCTGATCTGCTTGTTGAAACAGACCATTTGCTGTTAGTTCCAAGAAAACCAACCACTGAACCGGGAACCAGCTGCAGGTGAGACCGCCCGGGAGCTGCACAGAGGCTGGGGGACTGGCCTCTTTCTGCCTCTTTACTTCCTGCCTCGATTCTTGGGCTTCTCTCTCTCACTGTGCTACAAAAACAAACACTCTCCTCTGGCTTTGAGGTCACCCCACCCATGGTTTGACACAGTCATATCTAATACTTGAAAATGCAAAGCACTTGTGAAAAACCATGGCAGATGGGCACTGGTACCATCAACCCAAGGCTCACCAAGCATGGTTCTTAGTGCCTGTTTGCCAATAACTGTTCACCTCTGCCACCTCCACCCAGAGGCTGCTTGTAGAATGTCAACTCTGAAGGGGACTTAGGGCAATTTTCTAGGTCACCTTCTTCACTTTTAAAGATGGGAAGAGAGAGGCCCAAGAGTTGAAGTGACTTGCTGAGGTCTTGGCTGGTCAGTGGCTGAGTCGTTAGAGGAGCTCAACAGAGTGCACTGTGCGTTGTCCCTCCCCCCCCCCCCCCAGTCCTGTTACGACTCCTAGTCTACTGCCCTTTCAAGGCTATGTTTCTGGAGTTGGAGTCTTGGTCCCCCCCCTTTTTTTTTGCCGGGGGGGGGGGGAGTGGGAATCGTCACCTAATGTCATGAAGCCTGTTTCCTAAAACCCTCAAAATAAGAATCCCTAACAAATGTATGAGGTTGGCTCTTGTTCATATGAACTAAAGGATGGAAAAATGTTTGTAATTCGAAAGCAATCTGTTGACATAAGATGTGATTATATAACTATCTGCTGTATAACATCATTCATCCACTCCCCCCCCCCCCACTTTTTTTTTAGCTTGGAGCACCTTAATCCCTTGGTTGGCCTTAATTATTTTCAGGTGTATGATTAATATGTTAATGAACCCCCATTCAACTTATATGCAGAGTATATCACGAGAAACGCTGGGCTGGAAGAAGCACAAGCTAGAACCAAGATTGCTGGGAGAAATATCAATAACCTCAGATACGCAGATGACACCACCCTTATAGTAGAAAGTGAAGAAGAACTAAACAGCCTCTTGATGAAAGTGAAAGAGGAGAGTGAAAAAGTTGGCTTAAAACTCAACNTTAGTATACTGTATTGGTCTTTATCTTTCTGGCTTACTTCACTCTGTATAATGGGCTCCAGTTTCATCCATCCCATTAGAACTGATTCAAATGAATTCTTTTTAGTGGCCGGGTAATATTCCATAGTGTATATGTACCATAGCTTCCTTATCCATTCGTCTGCTGATGGGCATCTAGGTTGCTTCCATGTCCTGTCTATTATAAACAGTGCTACGATGAACATTGGGGTACACGTGTCTCTTTCAGATCTGGTTTCCTCAGTGTGTATGCCCAGGAGTAGGATTGCTGAGTCATATGGCAGTTCTATTTCCAGTTTTTTAAGGAATCTCCACACTGTTTGGAGAAGACTCTTGAGAGTCCCTTAGACTGCAAGGAGATCCAACCAGTCCATCCTAAAGGAAATCGGTCCTGAATATTCATTGGAAGGACTGATGTGAAGCTGAAACTCCAATACTTTGGCCACCTGATATAAAGAGCGGGCTCATTTGAAAAGACCCTGATGCTGGGAAAGATTGAGGGCAGGAGGAGAAGGGGACGACAGAGGATAAGATTGTTGGATGGCATCACCGACTCAATGGACATGGGTTTGGGTGAATTCCGGGAGTTGGTGATGGACGGGGAGGTCTGGCATGCTGCAGTTCATGGGGTCGCAAAGAATCGTACACTACTGAGTGAACTGAACTGATTCAGCCTTCAGCACTTAATTGTTCTACAATTTCTCTGACTCCAGTTGTCCTCTATCCTCTCAAGCTCTGCAGGCCTTTTGTTGAGGGGGTGGTATCTTTGAGACAGTTTGAAAATTCCCTTTCCAGTGAAAGATCAACCAAAGGTTTGATCCTTACTGTTGTAAAGCATTTCCAGAGAACTATTAATAGAGAGCTCTGCTACACAGACCTATATAAAGAATGGATCCAATTATAAAAATTCAGACAAACATGCAACTTCCTAGCGTTCCAACTGTTGTTTGAAATCAAAAGAAGCATGATTTTAGCCTCATGTCATGGGAAATCTTAGGAATTAATGAGGGTGGGCAGTGGTCCTTGACCTGGGTAGGGGAAGCAGTCACAGTGGCCTTAGATAAGGGCAAGGACCAAGTGTAGTGTTTGGCAAACAGAACATTTTCTTGTTTTATGTCCCCGGATGTGTTCCAGTGTCTCCTAGTTTTCAGTCTATGGGAACTTGAATAGAATTTGTATCCTACTGTTGTGTGAAAATTGTATAAATCTGAATTATGTTGAATTGGTTCACAGTGCTTTTCAGGTCTGCTATATATTTCTACCTCTCTGTATGTACATTCTATTAATTTTTGAGAGTTTGGTATTGAAACACCAACTAAAAATCAGATCGGGTAATTGGGCTTCCATTGCCTAGTCCAGTCTCTTCCTTTCCTTCACGTCTCTTCCTGTCAACTCCATGGCTGA